ACCCGAAGAAGTGTGAGTTCGGCAGCAGGGCAGTGAAGTACCTGGGATTTGAGGTGCAGGGAGGGAAGATGAGCATCCAGCAGGCCAAGGTTGAGGTGCTGGATCGAGTACCCGCCCCCAAGGACCGGACAACACTAAGGGCGGTGTTGGGCTTCTTGAACTACTACCGCAAGTTCGTGCCCAACTTCAGCCGGACGGCAGCAGTACTGAATCGATTACTGCGGGAAGAGCAAGCATGGCAGTGGGGAGAGGCCGAGCAAGGGGCGCTGGAGGCTCTACTCACCGCTGTGAAGACGGCTTCGGTACTAACCCTGCCCAGTAAGGAGGATCCCTTTGTGCTCTACACCGACTGGAGCAGTGCAGGCATGGGAGCCATACTGTGTCAGGAGAAAGAGGGGCAGGAGATGGTAGTGGCCTTCGCCAGCAGGAGCTGCAACCCGGCAGAGGCCAACTACTGCTCCTACGAGGGAGAAGGGTTGGCAGCCGTGTGGGGGGTCACCCACTTCCGTGTGTACCTGCAGGGCCGGCCCTTCACCCTAGTGACAGACCATCAACCCTTGACTTGGCTCATGACCAACCAAGCTCTCACCGGTCGGAACGCCAGGTGGGCGATGCGGTTGCAAGAGTACGAGTTGACCATCCGGCACCGACCGGGGAAGACGCTGCAGCATGTAGACGGCCTCTCCAGGAACCCTCCACCGGACAGCCCCACAGCCTGCCTGGTCGCACTAGCCCGAGAGATTGACGGAGAAGGGGCCAGGAAGAAGCAGGAGCGAGGGCCCGATGATGTGTGGGAGGATGAAGAGGTGCTGAATTGGATACAAGGCAAAACGACAGAGGCCGGGCCAGCCAGCGAGCGAGCCCGGGCAAGAGGGGTGCACTACAGATGGTACCAGGACCAGCTGCAGAAAAACACTAAGGACGGGTGGAAGCTGGTGCCAAGGAGAGAAGAAAGAGAGCAGATAATAGCCAAGGTGCATCGGACGCTGGGGCACTATGGAAGTCTGAGGACCAGCCAGCTGGTAGAGACCGGGTGGTGGTGGGCGGGAATGCGGAGAGAGATAAAAGAGTGGGTAGATTCATGCGAGCTGTGTAGCAGGAACAAGGCAGAGCTGGAGAGAGGAAGAGAGGAGTTGCAGTCACTTCCCATACGAGGACTAGGGTTTCGATGGTCGCTAGATTTGGCAGGAGAGATGCCGCTGAGCCGCAGAGGGAAGCGGTACATACTCATCATGATAGAACACGGGAGCAAGTGGGTGGAGGTCAAGGCGTTACCCAGTAAGAACTCGGCGAAGATAGCAGAGGCGTTTGAGGAGCAAGTCCTCACCAGATTCGGCGCATGCGGAGAAGTCCTGACCGACCAAGGGACCGAATTCCTAGGAGAGTTCGAGAAGCTACTACAGGCGACAGGAATCACGCACCGAAGGACATCCCGCTACCACCCCTAGAGCGATGGGCTGACAGAGAGGTTTGTCCAGACTATGAAGAGGGGACTGCGGGCCTACGGAGAGAAATTCAAGCGAGACTGGGATGCACGACTGCCCTGGGTAGCTGCAGGATACCGGTTCAGTAAACAGGCAGCTCTGAAGGACGTGTCCCCATACTACCTACTGCTGGGGAGAGAGCCCATACTGCCAGTAGACGCACCGAAGCTGCTGACAGGAACCGTGACAGTGGCATCAGCGGAGAGTTGGGTGGGGCTGGCAGAGGCACGGGCCAGGTACCTAAGAGAACTGCTACCTGCAGCGCTAGAGAACTTGCACGTGGCTCAGCTCAGAGACGCGCAGCGATACAAGAAGAGGAGGGAGGGACAGGGAGCCGCTAAGGAAAAGCAGCTGGGAGTAGGGGAGGAGGTATATCTGAAGCAAGCGAGGCACGACATGATGGACATAGGCCTCAGCAACGAGCGCTGGAAGGTCAAGGAAGTGAAAGAGTCAGGAGTAGTAGTGCTGGTGAGCGAGGGAGGCAGGGAGAAGAAAGACCATCAGACCAACGTGGCACGAGCCCGACCAAGGCGGGGAGCTAAGGAAGACGGTGCAGGAACGGCAGAAGAAAGAATCCAGCAGCCAGGAGTAGAAGGAGTCCATCGGCTTGCAGCAGGAGCTAGGCAGCCGAGGAGGGGGCAAGTGCAGGATGCAGGTGGCAAGGCAAGGCAGGTACCCAGAGAGCTGAGGGCACTAATGCAGTGACGAGGAAGGTTGCAGAAGAGAGACAACACCCCAGCATCAGGAGCACAGGAGGCAGGGCCAACAGGAGGCAAGGCCGGGCAACCTGAAGCAAGACAGAGAGAGATTCCGACAGCTGTCATGCTTTTATACTTAGTATAGATATAATAAGATAGGTGCATGACATTGTGAAGGAGCGTAATAGACTGTAGAGAAGTAAGGGGGAAAAGGGGAATGCTCGAGCGGGAACACAAAGCGAGCCGTGCGAAAGCACCGTTGCTCGGCAACGGTAACCACCGCTCACAATTACTTAAGCAGTAGCGCAAGTAGGGGATCTTTGCTTGCGAGTTTGTTTTCACACTAAGCTACAATTCAGGTTGGCGAAACCCCTAGCACCTAGCACGAGTGGAGCCAATCCTAGCAAGCACGATCTGAGCCAAGGAAGAGCAGTGAGTCTGCCGAGCTCAGCCCCCAGTGGAAGCAATCTCCTCTCAGAGAGTAGAGGAGCTTTTAAGTGCAGGATGCAGGTGGCAAGGCAAGGCAGGTACCCAGAGAGCTGAGGGCACTAATGCAGTGACGAGGAAGGTTGCAGAAGAGAGACAACACCCCAGCATCAGGAGCACAGGAGGCAGGGCCAACAGGAGGCAAGGCCGGGCAACCTGAAGCAAGACAGAGAGAGATTCCGACAGTGGATAGCGGCCATGGACTCAGAGATGGCGTCTTGGAGATCCACAGGCACCTACGTCGACGCAGTTCCCCCTCCTGGGGCGAACGTAGTCGATGGCATGTGGATCTTCAAGGTGAAGCGGCCGCCTAGATCACCACCTATCTTCAAGGCGCTCTACGTGGTTAGGGGCTTCAGTCAGCGTGAAGGAGTTGACCTCTTCCGGACCTTCGCCCCGACCCCGAAGATGACTTCGGGTATTACTTTCACGTTGCAGCACAGCGAGACTACGAGCTGCACTCCCTCGACTTCTCCACTGCCTTTCTCCATGGCCGTCTGCACGAGGAGATCTGGCTGCGCCGTCCTCCTGGCTTCACTGGCACTTTCCCGCGTGGGACCCAGTGGAGCCTGAGACGACCAGTCTACGGTCTTCGCCAGGCGCCCCGCGAGTGGCACGACACGCTACGCATCACTCTTGCTGACCTCGGGTTCCGTCCTTCGTCCGCCAACCCGTCGTTGTTTGTTCATACTGGTCAGTGCCTCAGATTCCAGAAAAAAATGTATGATTTAGGTAAAAAACGTTGAAATTCCATACTTATTTTAAAATCGAGGCTGCTTTTACAACAATGTTTGGAAAGAAACAAGAAAAGTTATGAGGTTTGTAGTGTAACATGACATAAAATGGCGGATTTGTCTGATTTTCAGCAAAACATTTTGTACCAACTCTGATTATTCAGACTAGCCCACAACCAATCTGAGGCCCTGATACTGGTTCTACTCCTTTCTTCGTCCTCGTCTACGTCGACGAGTTGGTCTTCGCTACAGCAGACCGGGTTGCTTTGGTTGAGGTGAAGTCCGAACTGAAGAAGAGACACACGTGCACTGACCTGGGTGAACTGCCCGCTACTTTGGCTTGCAGATCACCAGGGACAGGGCCACTCGCACCATCACACTGACTAAGTCACACATGGTGCAAGGTCCTTCTGCGGTTCGTGTTTCAGTTCTCCACCACACAGCCCACTCCTCTTGCCGTTGACCACAGACTCACCGGCCTTTTTCCCGACAAGCCTTTGAGTCCAGTGGTCCCTACGTAGAGCTTGTGGGCTGCCTCATGTACCTGATGACTTGTACTCGTCCGGACCTCGCTTTTTCCCTCAGCGTCCTTTCTCGTTTTGTTGCGACTGGGAGAACCGTCCTGTTCACTGGACGGCTGCTGTGAGGGTGGCGAAGTACCTGGCGACTACAAGAGGCATAGGGCTTGTGCTTGGAGGGACACAGCCAGTTGTGCTGACCGGTCACTGCGACTCTTCCTACGCCGACGACGTGCAGAGAAGTCTACACAAGGGTACTGGTTTAGCTTGGGCGCTGGAGCTGTGTCGTGGAGATGTACTCGGTCGTCGTCTGTGGCACAGTTTAACGCAGAGGCAGAGATCTACGCCGGTGCCATGGCTGCGCAGGAGCTTCGCTGGTTGGCCTTTTTGCTCACCGACCTTGGTGAGCGGCCTCGCTTTGATATAATCTAAAAAAATTACAACAGCGGAATGGTTGGGTTAGCAAGGCTTGGAGTACAAGTACAAACCCTAGAAATTCTCCCTACTGTGAGCCTCACTACATCCTAGCATACAAATATATATAGTTTGACGCCTGGTACTGCACCATGCAGCTCCACACGCGGAGCATCGAAGTGTGGCCCTTCTTGCCCGTCCACTTCACGTGCTGCGACGAGTTTCCGGTGATCGCCGTAGTGGAGAGGAGGTTGTATAGCCGTACAGCGTGGGGTGCATATTTAAATCCTGGGTATGACCGTATGCCGGTAACTTTGTGCATGGGTTTTTAGACCAGGCGTCTTACATTTTTACATTAATTATGATAAATTTAGGGAGATAAAATGCAGTATGTCTGGTAGACCCTGTGGTACACTGATGGGATGATAAAATGATGACAGGGTAGAGAAAAAACCCTTCTGCCAATGGGGCAGATGTCTGTATGTAAGGCCTTATTATGGCCAGTCCAGTGTGACGTATATTCAGAGGAGGCGGGTGAAGTGGAGCTCCACCTGCAGGCGGCAATGGATGGCTTCAGGCGACCCCAGCAGCCCCTTGCGCAGGTCACTCTCCACCTCCGCCAGGTAATAAAAAGAAGTGTTTTGTGACCTCTCAAAAGACGTATATTCAGAGGAGGCGGGTGAAGTGGAGCTCCACCTGCAGGCGGCGGTGGATGGCTTCGGGCGACCCCAACAGCCCCTTGCGCAGGTCACTCTCTACCTCCGCCAACGGCACCGCCGCCAGGAACGCCTTGAGGTACTCTCGGCACGCCTCCGCTCCCCACACCCTCCTCCCTGCCGCCACCGGAGCTGCCTCCCCCTCGCCCTCCCCGCCACAAGCAGGTGCTGTCAAGGTGGGAGGGGAGGCGGCGGTGGCTGTGCAGGCAGGAGACGAGGCAGCAGCGCACGACGCGGCTTGGGTGGGCTGCTTACTGCTTGCACACCCGTCAAAATTGGTGGTGCTGGTTTTGGTCTCGTGTATGGGTGACCGTGATGGACCGTCAGTGTTTGTCAGCAGACATGCTGCCTCGGCTGCATGCACTGCTGTAGGAAGCACTGAGTCAGCTGCGGAGGATGCTGACTCGTTTCCGCATGGTGGGCTGCAGTTGTCTGCCGAGTGACTATCTACATGGTTTGGAGTGACAGTGATGGCAGTGGGCACGCCATAAGAGTCAGCAGGGAGCAAAGTGATGTCTTCATTCAATTGCCCTGCTTGAAGCACCACCTCCTCAACCTCTGCCACATGCATTCCTTGTGCTGCTCCCTCTTTCACGTCTACCCCCTTAGCAACATCTGCATCACAGCTCACCATGTGGTTCACCCCATGGGAATGGGCACCCACCCCCCCTGCTCCAATATCCACCCCACCACTGCCTTTGCCCTTCCCATTGCCATCTCTGCCCTTGCCACCGCCCTTGCCTGCCTTCACACCCCATCGCCTGCCTGTCTCTGCCTTGGGCACCTGAGCACTAATGCCGCCTGCCTTACCCTCTGCCCTCTCTGCTTCGTCTGCCCTGCCACCTTGCTCACAACTGTCAACAGTACCCTGCGCCTTCGCCTGTCCCCCACCACCGTCACCTGCACCACCCTCTCCTCCTCCTACTCCTGCGCCTGCCCCGCCTGCAGCAGTGCTTCCCGGCGCTGCAGCGGGCGGCAGGCCAACGTCCACCCAGGAGGAGGCATTGAAGAGCAGCATGAAGGCCTGCGAGCACCCCTCCTGCAGCCGCTCGCCCAGCGTGTCGATCACCACACACTCCACCTCCTCCTCACTCGCCTCCCCCCCTGTGCCGCCATGGGCTACGCATTCACCTGTGTGCTCCCCTGCCGCCCCATCCAATGCTGCCTGCACCCCCCCACGCCCGTGCTGCTGGTGCTGGTGCTGGTGCTGGTGCTGGTGGGGCTGGTGCTGGTGGTACTGGTGCTGGTGGGGGTGGGGCCGGCGCAGGAGCAGCAGGAAGAAGTGGTCGTTCCACGCCACGATGTACACGCCCTCGCCCGCCTGCACCACCGCCTCCCAGATGTCATCAAACGACAGCATGCCCTCCAAGAACGCCAGCTGCTCCATGCCCTTCTCCTCCATGCCCTTCTCCTCCATGCCCTTCTCCTCCATGCCCTTCTCCTCCATGCCCTTCTCCTCCATGCCCTTCTCCTCCATGCCCTTCTCCTCCATGCCCTTCTCCTCCATGCCCTTCTCCTCCATGCCCTTCTCCTCCATGCCCTTCTCCTCCATGCCCTTCTCCTCCATGCCCTTCTCCTCCATGCCCTTCTCCTCCATGCCCTTCTCCTCCATGCCCTTCTCCTCCATGCCTTCTCCTCCATGCCCTTCTCCTCCATGCCCTTCTCCTCCATGCCCTTCTCCTCCATGCCCTTCTCCTCCATGCCCTTCTCCTCCATGCCCCCATTCCTTCCTCCTGCCCTTCTCGCTCCATGCCCTTCTCCTCCATGCCCTCGCCTCCATTGCCCTTCTCCTCCATGCCCTTCTCCTCCATGCCCTTCTCCTCCATGCCCTTTCTCCTCCATGCCCTTTCTCCTCCATGCCCTTCTCCTCCATGCCCTTCTCCTCCATGCCCTTCTCCTCCATGCCCTTCTCCTCCATGCCCTTCTCCTCCATGCCCTTCTCCTCCATGCCCTTCTCCTCCATGCCCTTCTCTCACAGTGCCCTTCTCCTCCATGCCCTTCTCCTCCATGCCCTTCTCCTCCATGCCCTTCTCCTCCATGCCCTTCTCCTCCATGCCCTTCTCCTCCATGCCCTTCTCCTCACATGCCCTTCTCCTCCATGCCCTTCTCCTCCATGCCCTTCTCCTCCATGCCCCTTCTCCTCATGCCCTTACTCCTCCATGCTCCTTCTCCCATGCCTTCTCGCTCCATGCACTTCTCACTCCATTCCCGTCTCCTGCCATGCCCTTCTCCTCCATGCCCTTCTCCTCCATGCCCTTCTCCTCCATGCCTTCTCCTCCATGCCCTCTCCATGCCCTTCTCCTCCATCCTTCTCCTCCATGCCCTTCTCCTCCATGCCCTTCTCCCTTCCTCCATGCCCTTCTCCTCCATGCCCTTCTCCTCCATGCCCTTCTCCTCCATGCCCTTCTCCTCCATGCCCTTCTCCTCCATGCCCTTCTCCTCCATGCCCTTCTCCTCCATGCCCTTCTCCTCCATGCCCTTCTCCTCCATGCCCTTCTCCTCCATGCCCTTCTCCTCCCATGCCCTTCTCCTCCATGCCCTTCTCCTCCATGCCCTTCTCCTCCATGCCCTTCTCCTCCATGCCCTTCTCCTCCATGCCCTTCTCCTCCATGCCTTCTCCTCCATGCCCTTCTCCTCCATGCCCTTCTCCTCCATGCCCTTCTCCTCCATGCCCTTCTCCTCCATGCCCTCTCCTCCATGCCCTTCTCCTCCATGCCCTTCTCCTCCATGCCCTTCTCCTCCATGCCCTTCTCCTCCATGCCCTTCTCCTCCATGCCCTTCTCCTCCATGCCCTTCTCCTCCATGCCCTTCTCCTCATGCCCTTCTCCTCCATGCCCTTCTCCTCCATGCCCTTCTCCTCCATGCCCTTCCTCCCTCCATGCCCTTCTCCTCCATGCCCTTCTCCTCCATGCCCTTCTCCTCCATGCCCTTCTCCTCCATGCCCTTCTCCTCCATGCCCTTCTCCTCCATGCCCTTCTCCTCCATGCCTTCTCCTCCATGCCCTTCTCCTCCATGCCCTTCTCCTCCATGCCCTTCTCCTCCATGCCCTTCTCCTCCATGCCCTTCTCCTCCATGCCCTTCTCCTCCATGCCCTTCTCCTCCATGCCCTTCTCCTCCATGCCCTTCTCCTCCATGCCCTTCTCCTCCATGCCCTTCTCCTCCATGCCCTTCTCCTCCATGCCCTTCTCCTCCATGCCCTTCTCCTCCATGCCCTTCTCCTCCATGCCCTTCTCCTCCATGCCCTTCTCCTCCATGCCCTTCTCCTCCATGCCCTTCTCCTCCATGCCCTTCTCCTCCATGCCCTTCTCCTCCATGCCCTTCTCCTCCATGCCCTTCTCCTCCATGCCCTTCTCCTCCATGCCCTTCTCCTCCATGCCCTTCTCCTCCATGCCCTTCTCCTCCATGCCCTTCTCCTCCATGCCCTTCTCCTCCATGCCCTTCTCCTCCATGCCCTTCTCCTCCATGCCCTTCTCCTCCATGCCCTTCTCCTCCATGCCCTTCTCCTCCATGCCCTTCTCCTCCATGCCCTTCTCCTCCATGCCCTTCTCCTCCATGCCCTTCTCCTCCATGCCCTTCTCCTCCATGCCCTTCTCCTCCATGCCCTTCTCCTCCATGCCCTTCTCCTCCATGCCCTTCTCCTCCATGCCCTTCCCATGCCTTCTCCTCCATGCCCTTCTCCTCCATGCCCTTCTCCTCCATGCCCTTCTCCTCCATGCCCTTCTCCTCCATGCCCTTCTCCTCCATGCCCTTCTCCTCCATGCCCTTCTCCTCCATGCCCTTCTCCTCCATGCCCTTCTCCTCCATGCCCTTCTCCTCCATGCCCTTCTCCTCCATGCCCTTCTCCTCCATGCCCTTCTCCTCCATGCCCTTCTCCTCCATGCCTTCTCCTCCATGCCCTTCTCCTCCATGCCCTTCTCCTCCATGCCCTTCTCCTCCATGCCCTTCTCCTCCATGCCCTTCTCCTCCATGCCCTTCTCCTCCATTGCCCATTCTCCTCCATGCCCCTTCCTCCTCCATGCCCTTCTCCTCCATGCCCTTCTCCTCCATGCCCTTCTCCTCCATGCCCTTCTCCTCCATGCCCTTCTCCTCCATGCCCTTCTCCTCCATGCCCTTCTCCTCCATGCCCTTCTCCTCCATGCCCTTCTCCTCCATGCCCTTCTCCTCCATGCCCTTCTCCTCCATGCCCTTCTCCTCCATGCCCTTCTGCCTCCATGCCCTTCTCCTCCATGCCCTTCTCCTCCATGCCCTTCTCCTCCATGCCCTTCTCCTCCATGCCCTTCTCCTCCATGCCCTTCTCCTCCATGCCCTTCTCCTCCATGCCTTCTCCTCCATGCCCTTCTCCTCCATGCCCTTCTCCTCCATGCCGTTCTCCTCCATGCCCTTCTCCTCCATGCCCTTCTCCTCCATGCCCTTCTCCTCCATGCCCTTCTCCTCCATGGCCCTTCTCCTCCATGCCCTTCTCCTCCATGCCCTTCTCCTCCATGCCCTTCTCCTCCATGCCCGTCCTCCTCCATGCCCTTCTCCTCCATGGCCCTTCTCCTCCATGCCCTTCTCCTCCATGCCCTTCTCCTCCATGCCCTTCTCCTCCATGCCCTTCTCCTCCATGCCCTTCTCCTCCATGCCCTTCTCCTCCATGCCCTTCTCCTCCATGCCCTTCTCCTCCATGCCCTTCTCCTCCATGCCCTTCTCCTCCATGCCCTTCTCCTCCATGCCCTTCTCCTCCATGCCCTTCTCCTCCATGCCCTTCTCCTCCATGCCCTTCTCCTCCATGCCCTTCTCCTCCATGCCCTTCTCCTCCATGCCCTTCTCCTCCATGCCCTTCTCCTCCATGCCCTTCTCCTCCATGCCCTTCTCCTCCATGCCCTTCTCCTCCATGCCCTTCTCCTCCATGCCCTTCTCCTCCATGCCCTTCTCCTCCATGCCCTTCTCCTCCATGCCCTTCTCCTCCATGCCCTTCTCCTCCATGCCCTTCTCCTCCATGCCCTTCTCCTCCATGCCCTTCTCCTCCATGCCCTTCTCCTCCATGCCCTTCTCCTCCATGCCCTTCTCCTCCATGCCCCTCTCCTCCATGCCCTTCTCCTCCATGCCCTTCTCCTCCATGCCCTTCTCCTCCATGCCCTTCTCCTCCATGCCCTTCTCCTCCATGCCCTTCTCCTCCATGCCCTTCTCCTCCATCTGCCCTTCTTCATCCTCCATGCCCTTCTCCTCCATGCCCTTCTCCTCCATGCCCTTCTCCTCCATGCCCTTCTCCTCCATGCCCTTCTCCTCCATGCCCTTCTCCTCCATGCCCCTTCTCCTCCATGCCCTTTCTCCTCCATGCCCTTCTCCTCCATGCCCTTCTTCCTCCATGCCCTTCTCCTCCATGCCCTTCTCCTCCATGCCCTTCTCCTCCATGCCCTTCTCCTCCATGCCCTTCTCCTCCATGCCCTTCTCCTCCATGCCCTTTCTCCTCCATGCCCTTCTCCTCCATGCCCTTCTCCTCCATGCCCTTCTCCTCCATGCCCTTCTCCTCCATGCCCTTCTCCTCCATGCCCTTCCATTCCTCCCATGCCCTTCTCCTCCATGCCCTTCTCCTCCATGCCCTTCTCCTCCATGCCCTTCTCCTCCATGCCCTTCTCCTCCATGCCCTTCTCCTCCATGCCCTTCTCCTCCATGCCCTTCTCCTCCATGCCCTTCTCCTCCATGCCCTTCTCCTCCATGCCCTTCTCCTCCATGCCCTTCTCCTCCATGCCCTTCTCCTCCATGCCCTTCTCCTCCATGCCCTTCTCCTCCATGCCCTTCTCCTCCATGCCCTTCTCCTCCATGCCCTTCTCCTCCATGCCCTTCTCCTCCATGCCCTTCTCCTCCATGCCCTTCTCCTCCATGCCCTTCTCCTCCATGCCCTTCTCCTCCATGCCCTTCTCCTCCATGCCCTTCTCCTCCATGCCCTTCTCCTCCATGCCCTTCTCCTCCATGCCCTTCTCCTCCATGCCCTTCTCCTCCATGCCCTTCTCCTCCATGCCCTTCTCCTCCATGCCCTTCTCCTCCATGCCCTTCTCCTCCATGCCCTTCTCCTCCATGCCCTTCTCCTCCATGCCCTTCTCCTCCATGCCCTTCTCCTCCATGCCCTTCTCCTCCATGCCCTTCTCCTCCATGCCCTTCTCCTCCATGCCCTTCTCCTCCATGCCCTTCTCCTCCATGCCCTTCTCCTCCATGCCCTTCTCCTCCATGCCCTTCTCCTCCATGCCCTTCTCCTCCATGCCCTTCTCCTCCATGCCCTTCTCCTCCATGCCCTTCTCCTCCATGCCCTTCTCCTCCATGCCCTTCTCCTCCATGCCCTTCTCCTCCATGCCCTTCTCCTCCATGCCCTTCTCCTCCATGCCCTTCTCCTCCATGCCCTTCTCCTCCATGCCCTTCTCCTCCATGCCCTTCTCCTCCATGCCCTTCTCCTCCATGCCCTTCTCCTCCATGCCCTTCTCCTCCATGCCCTTCTCCTCCATGCCCTTCTCCTCCATGCCCTTCTCCTCCATGCCCTTCTCCTCCATGCCCTTCTCCTCCATGCCCTTCTCCTCCATGCCCTTCTCCTCCATGCCCTTCTCCTCCATGCCCTTCTCCTCCATGCCCTTCTCCTCCATGCCCTTCTCCTCCATGCCCTTCTCCTCCATGCCCTTCTCCTCCATGCCCTTCTCCTCCATGCCCTTCTCCTCCATGCCCTTCTCCTCCATGCCCTTCTCCCTCCATGCCCTTCTCCTCCATGCCCTTCTCCTCCATGCCCTTCTCCTCCATGCCCTTCTCCTCCATGCCTCCTCTCTCCTCCATGCCCTTCTCCTCCATGCCCTTCTCCTCCATGCCCTTCTCCTCCATGCCCTTCTCCTCCATGCCCTTCTCCTCCATGCCCTTCTCCTCCATGCCCTTCTCCTCCATGCCTTCTCCTCCATGCCCTTCTCCTCCATGCCCTTCTCCTCCATGCCCTTCTCCTCCATGCCCTTCTCCTCCATGCCCTTCTCCTCCATGCCCTTCTCCTCCATGCCCTTCTCCTCCATGCCCTTCTCCTCCATGCCCTTCTCCTCCATGCCCTTCTCCTCCATGCCCTTCTCCTCCATGCCCTTCTCCTCCATGCCCGTCTCCTCCATGCCCTTCCTCCTCCATGCCCTTCTCCTCCATGCCTTCTCCTCCATGCCCTTCTCCTCCATGCCCTTTCTCCTCCATGCCCTTCTCCTCCATGCCCTTCTCCTCCATGCCCTTCTCCTCCAGGCCCTCTCTTCCCTTCCCATGCCCCTTCTCCTCCATGCCCTTCTCCTCCATGCCCTTCTCCTCCATGCCCTTCTCCTCCATGCCCCTTCTCCTCCATGCCCTTCTCCTCATGCCCTTCTCCTCCATGCCCTTCTCCTCCATGCCCTTCTCCTCCATGCCCTTCTCCCTCCATGCCCTTCTCCTCCATGCCCTTCTCCTCCATGCCCTTCTCCTCCATGCCTTCTCCTCCATGCCCTTCTCCTCCATGCCCTTCTCCTCCATGCCTTCTCCTCCATGCCTTCTCCTCCATGCCCTTCTCCTCCATGCCCTTCTCCTCCATGCCCTTCTCCTCCATGCCCTTCTCCTCCATGCCCTTCTCCTCCATGCCCTTCTCCCTCCATGCCCTTCTCCTCCATGCCCTCTCCTCCATGCCCTTCTCCTCCATGCCCTTCTCCTCCTCCATGCCCTTCTCCTCCATGCCCTTCTCCTCCATGCCCTTCTCCTCCATGCCCTTCTCCTCCATGCCCTTCTCCTCCATGCCTTCTCCCCATGCCCTTCTCCTCCATGCCCTTCTCCTCTCCATGCCCTTCTCCTCATGCCCTTCTCCTCCATGTGCCCTTCTCCTCCTGCCCTCTCCTCCAGGCCCTTCTCCTCCAATGCCCTTCTCCTCCATGCCCTTCTCCTCCATGCCCTTCTCCTCCATGCCTTCTCCTCCATGCCCTTCTCCTCCATGCCCTTCTCCTCCCATTGCCCTTCTCCTCCATGCCCTTCTCCTCCATGCCCTTCTCCTCCATGCCCTTCTCCTCCATGCCCTTCTCCTCCATGCCCTTCTCCTCCATGCCCTTCTCCTCCATGCCCTTCTCCTCCATGCCCTTCTCCTCCATGCCCTTCTCCTCCATGCACTTCTCCTCCATGCCCTTCTCCTCCATGCCCTTCTCCTCCATGCCCCTTCTCCTCCATGCCCTTCTCCTCCATGCCCTTCTCATCCTCCATGCCCTTCTCCTCCATGCCCTTCTCCTCCATGCCCTTCTCCTCCATGCCCTTCTCCTCCATGCCCTTCTCTCCTCCATGCCCTTCTCCTCATGCCCTTCTCCTCCATGCCCTTCTCCTCCATTGCCCTTCTCCTCCATGCCCTTCTCCTCCATGCCCTTCTCCTCCATGCCCTTCTCCTCCATGCCTTCTCCTCCATGCCCTTCTCCTCCATGCCCTTCTCCTCCATGCCCTTCTCCTCCATGCCTTCTCCTCCATGCCCTTCTCCTCCATGCCCTTCTCCTCCATGCCCTTCTCCTCCATGCCCTTCTCCTCCATGCCCTTCTCCTCCATGCCCTTCTCCTCCATGCCCTTCTCCTCATGCCCTTCTCCTCCATGCCCTTCTCCTCCATCCCTTCTCCTCCATGCCCTTCTCTCCATGCCCTTCTCCTCCATGCCTTCTCCTCCATGCCCTTCTCCTCCATGCCCTTCTCCTCCATGCCCTTCTCCTCCATGCCCTTCTCCTCCATGCCCTTCTCCTCCATGCCCTTCTCCTCCATGCCCTTCTCCTCCATGCCCTTCTCCTCATGCCTTCCTCCATGCCCTTCTCCTCCATGCCCTTCTCCTCCATGCCTTCTCCTCATGCCCTTCTCCTCCATGCCCTTCTCCTCCATGCCCTTCTCCTCCATGCCCTTCTCCTCCATGCCCTTCTCCTCCATGCCCTTCTCCTCCATGCCCTTCTCCTCCATGCCTTCTCCTCCATGCCCTTCTCCTCCATGCCCTTCTCCTCCCATGCCCTTCTCCTCCATGCCCTTCTTCCTCCATGCCCTTCTCCTCCATGCCTTCTCCTCCATGCCTTCTCCTCCATGCCCTTCTTCCCTCCATGCCCTCTCCTCCATGCCCTTCTCCTCCATGCCCTTCTCCTCCATGCCCTTCTCCTCCAATGCCCTTCTCCTCCATGCCCTTCTCCTCCATGCCCTTCTCCTCCATGCCCTTCTCCTCCATGCCCTTCTCCTCCATTGCCCTTCTCCCTCCATGCCCTTCTCCTCCATGCCCTTCTCCTCCATGCCCTTCTCCTCCATGCCCTTCTCCTCCATGCCCTTCCTCCTCCATGCTCCTTCTCTCCATGCCCTTCTCCTCCATGCCCTTCTCCTCCATGCCCTTCTCACTCCATGCCTTCTCCTCCATGCCTTCTCCTCCATGCCCTTCTCCTCCATGCCCTTCTCCTCCATGCCCTTCTCCTCCATGCCCTTCTCCTCCATGCCTTCTCCTCCATGCCCTTCTCCTCCATGCCTTCTCCTCCATGCCCTTCTCCTCCATGCCCTTCTCCTCCATGCCCTTCTCCTCCATGTGCCCTTCTCCTCCATGCCCTTCTCCTCCATGCCCTTCTCCTCCATGCCCTTCTCCTCCATGCCTTCTCCTCCATGCCTTCTCCTCCATGCCCTTCTCCTCCTGCCCTTCTCCTCCATGCCCTTCTCCTCCATGCCCTTCTCCTCCATGCCCTTCTCCTCCATGCCCTTCTCCTCCATGCCCTTCTCCTCCATGCCCTTCTCCTCCATGCCCTTCTCCTCCATGCCCTTCTCCTCCATGCCCTTTCTCCTCCATGCCCTTCTCCTCAATGCCCTTCTCCTCCATGCCCTCTCTCCATGCCCTCTCCTCCTGCCCTTCTCCTCCATGCCCTTCTCCTCCATGCCCTTCTCCTCCATGCCCTTCTCCTCCAATGCCCTTCTCCTCCATGCCCTTCTCCTCCATGCCCTTCTCCTCCATGCCCTTCTCCTCCTAATGCCCTTCTCCTCCATGCCCTTCTCCTCCATGCCCTTCTCCTCCATGCCCTTCTCCTCCATGCCCTTCTCCTCCATGCCCTTCTCCCCCTTTCCTCCATGACCTTCTCCTCCATGCCCTTCTCCTCCATGCCCTTCTCCTCCATGCCCTTCTCCTCCATGCCCTTCTCCTCCATGCCCTTCTCCTCCATGCCCTTCTCCTCCATGCCCTTCTCCTCCATGCCCTTCTCCTCCATGCCCTTCTCCTCCATGCCCTTCTCCTCCATGCCCTTCTCCTCCATGCCCTTCTCCTCCATGCCCTTCTCCTCCATGCCCTTCTCCTCCATGCCCTTCTCCTCCATGCCCTTCTCCTCCATGCCCTTCTCCTCCATGCCCTTCTCCTCCATGCCCTTCTCCTCCATGCCCTTCTCCTCCATGCCCTTCTCCTCCATGCCCTTCTCCTCCATGCCCTTCTCCTCCTGCCCTTCCTCCAGCTCCCATGCCCTTCTCCTCCATGCCCTTCGCTCCTCCATGCCCTTCTCCTCCATGCCCTTCTCCTCCATGCCCTTCTCCTCCATGCCCTTCTCCTCCATGCCCTTCTCCTCCATGCCTTCTCCTCCATGCCCTTCTCCTCCATGCCCTTCTCCTCCATGCCCTTCTCCTCCATGCCCTTCTCCTCCATGCCCTTCTCCTCCATGCCCTTCTCCTCCATGCCCTTCTCCTCCATGCCTTCCCTCCATGCCCTTCTCCTCCATGCCCTTCTCCTCCATGCCCTTCTCCTCCATGCCCTTCTCCTCCATGCCCTTCTCCTCCATGCCCTTCTCCTCCATGCCCTCTCCTCCATGCCCTTCTCCTCCATGCCCTTCTCCTCCATGCCCTTCTCCTCCATGCCCTTCTCCTCCATGCCCTTCTCCTCCATGCCCTTCTCCTCCATGCCCTTCTCCTCCATGCCCTTCTCCTCCATGCCCTTCTCCTCCATGCCCTTCTCCTCCATGCCCTTCTCCTCCATGCCCTTCTCCTCCATGCCCTTCTCCTCCATGCCCTTCTCCTCCATGCCCTTCTCCTCCATGCCCTTCTCCTCCATGCCCTTCTCCTCCATGCCCTTCTCCTCCATGCCCTTCTCCTCCATGCCCTTCTCCTCCATGCCCTTCTCCTCCATGCCCTTCTCCTCCATGCCCTTCTCCTCCATGCCCTTCTCCTCCATGCCCTTCTCCTCCATGCCCTTCTCCTCCATGCCCTTCTCCTCCATGCCCTTCTCCTCCATGCCCTTCTCCTCCATGCCCTTCTCCTCCATGCCCTTCTCCTCCATGCCCTTCTCCTCCATGCCCTTCTCCTCCATGCCCTTCTCCTCCATGCCCTTCTCCTCCATGCCCTTCTCCTCCATGCCCTTCTCCTCCATGCCCTTCTCCTCCATGCCCTTCTCCTCCATGCCCTTCTCCTCCATGCCCTTCTCCTCCATGCCCTTCTCCTCCATGCCCTTCTCCTCCATGCCCTTCTCCTCCATGCCCTTCTCCTCCATGCCCTTCTCCTCCATGCCCTTCTCCTCCATGCCCTTCTCCTCCATGCCCTTCTCCTCCATGCCCTTCTCCTCCATGCCCTTCTCCTCCATGCCCTTCTCCTCCATGCCCTTCTCCTCCATGCCCTTCTCCTCCATGCCCTTCTCCTCCATGCCCTTCTCCTCCATGCCCTTCTCCTCCATGCCCTTCTCCTCCATGCCCTTCTCCTCCATGCCCTTCTCCTCCATGCCCTTCTCCTCCATGCCCTTCTCCTCCATGCCCTTCTCCTCCATGCCCTTCTCCTCCATGCCCTTCTCCTCCATGCCCTTCTCCTCCATGCCCTTCTCCTCCATGCCCTTCTCCTCCATGCCCTTCTCCTCCATGCCCTTCTCCTCCATGCCCTTCTCCTCCATGCCCTTCTCCTCCATGCCCTTCTCCTCCATGCCCTTCTCCTCCATGCCCTTCTCCTCCATGCCCTTCTCCTCCATGCCCTTCTCCTCCATGCCCTTCTCCTCCATGCCCTTCTCCTCCATGCCCTTCTCCTCCATGCCCTTCTCCTCCATGCCCTTCTCCTCCATGCCCTTCTCCTCCATGCCCTTCTCCTCCATGCCCTTCTCCTCCATGCCTTCTCCTCTCCTCCATGCCCTTCTCCTCCATGCCCTTCTCCTCCATGCCCTTCTCCTCCATGCCCTTCTCCTCCATGCCCTTCTCCTCCATGCCCTTCTCCTCCATGCCCTTCTCCTCCATGCCCTTCTCCTCCATGCCCTTCTCCTCCATGCCCTTCTCCTCCATGCCCTTCTCCTCCATGCCCTTCTCCTCCATGCCCTTCTCCTCCATGCCCTTCTCCTCCATGCCCTTCTCCTCCATGCCCTTCTCCTCCATGCCCTTCTCCTCCATGCCCTTCTCCTCCATGCCCTTCTCCTCCATGCCTTCTCCTCCATGCCCTTCTCCTCCATGCCCTTCTCCTCCATGCCTTCTCCTCCATGCCCTTCTCCTCCATGCCCTTCTCCTCCATGCCCTTCTCCTCCATGCCCTTCTCCTCCATGCCCTTCTCCTCCATGCCTTCTCCTCCATGCCCTTCTCCTCCATGCCCTTCTCCTCCATGCCTTCTCCTCCATGCCCTTCTCCTCCATGCCCTTCTCCTCCATGCCCTTCTCCTCCATGCCCTTCTCCTCCATGCCCTTCTCACCCTCCCATGCCCTTCTCCTCCATGCCCTTCTCCTCCATGCCCTTCTCCTCCATGCCCTTCTCCTCCATGCCCTTCTCCTCCATGCCCTTCTCCTCCATGCCCTTCTCCTCCATGCCCTTCTCCTCCATGCCCTTCTCCTCCATGCCCTTCTCCTCCATGCCCTTCTCCTCCATGCCCTTCTCCTCCATGCCCTTCTCCTCCATGCCCTTCTCCTCCATGCCCTTCTCCTCCATGCCCTTCTCCTCCATGCCCTTCTCCTCCATGCCCTTCTCCTCCATGCCCTTCTCCTCCATGCCCTTCTCCTCCATGCCCTTCTCCTCCATGCCCTTCTCCTCCATGCCCTTCTCCTCCATGCCCTTCTCCTCCATGCCCTTCTCCTCCATGCCCTTCTCCTCCATGCCCTTCTCCTCCATGCCCTTCTCCTCCATGCCCTTCTCCTCCATGCCCTTCTCCTCCATGCCCTTCTCCTCCATGCCCTTCTCCTCCATGCCCTTCTCCTCCATGCCCTTCTCCTCCATGCCCTTCTCCTCCATGCCCTTCTCCTCCATGCCCTTCTCCTCCATGCCCTTCTCCTCCATGCCCTTCTCCTCCATGCCCTCCTCCATGCCCTTCTCCTCCATGCCCTTCTCCTCCATGCCCTTCTCCTCCATGCCCTTCTCCTCCATGCCTCTCCTCCATGCCCTTCTCCTCCATGCCCTTCTCCTCCAATGCCCTTCTCCTCCATGCCCCTTCTCCTCCATGCCCTTCTCCTCCATGCCCTTCTCCTCCATGCCCTTCTCCTCCATGCCCTTCTCCTCCATGCCCTTCTCCTCCATGCCCTTCTCCTCCATGCCCTCTCCTCATGCCCTTCTCCTCCATGCCCTTCTCCTCCATGCCCTTCTCCTCCATGCCCTTCTCCTCCATGCCTTCTCCTCCATGCCCTTCTCCTCCATGCCCTTCTCCTCCATGGCCCTTCTCCTCCATGCCCTTCTCCTCCATGCCCTTCTCCTCCATGCCCTTCCTCCTCCATGCCTTTCTCCTCCATGCCCTTCTCTCCATGCCCTTCTCCTCCATGCCCTTCTCCTCCATGCCCTTCTCCTCCATGCCCTTCTCCTCCATGCCCTTCTCCTTCCATGCCCTTCTCCTCCATGCCCTTCTCCCTCCATGCCCTTGCTCCTCCATGCCCTTCTCCTCCATGCCCTTCTCCTCCATGCCCTTCTCCTCCATGCCCTTCTCCTCCATGCCCTTCTCCTCCATGCCCTTCTCCTCCATGCCCTTCTCCTCCATGCCCTTCTCCTCCATGCCCTTCTCCTCCATGCCCTTCTCCTCCATGCCCTTCTCCTCCATGCCCTTCTCCTCCATGCCCTTCTCCTCCATGCCCTTCTCCTCCATGCCCTTCTCCTCCATGCCCTTCTCCTCCATGCCCTTCTCCTCCATGCCCTTCTCCTCCATGCCCTTCTCCTCCATGCCCTTCTCCTCCATGCCCTTCTCCTCCATGCCCTTCTCCTCCATGCCCTTCTCCTCCATGCCCTTCTCCTCCATGCCCTTCTCCTCCATGCCCTTCTCCTCCATGCCCTTCTCCTCCATGCCCTTCTCCTCCATGCCCTTCTCCTCCATGCCCTTCTCCTCCATGCCCTTCTCCTCCATGCCCTTCTCCTCCATGCCCTTCTCCTCCATGCCCTTCTCCTCCATGCCCTTCTCCTCCATGCCCTTCTCCTCCATGCCCTTCTCCTCCATGCCCTTCTCCTCCATGCCCTTCTCCTCCATGCCCTTCTCCTCCATGCCCTTCTCCTCCATGCCCTTCTCCTCCATGCCCTTCTCCTCCATGCCCTCTCCTCCATGCCCTTCTCCTCCATGCCCTTCTCCTCCATGCCCTTCTCCTCCATGCCCTTCTCCTCCATGCCCTTCTCCTCCATGCCCTTCTCCTCCATGCCCTTCTCCTCCATGCCCTTCTCCTCCATGCCCTTCTCCCTCCATGCCCTTCTCCTCCATGCCCTTCTCCTCCATGCCCTTCTCCTCCATGCCCTTCTCCTCCATGCCCTTCTCCTCCATGCCCTTCTCCTCCATGCCCTTCTCCTCCATGCCCTTCTCCTCCATGCCCTTCTCCTCCATGCCCTTCTCCTCCATGCCCTTCTCCTCCATGCCCTTCTCCTCCATGCCCTTCTCCTCCATGCCCTTCTCCTCCATGCCCTTCTCCTCCATGCCCTTCTCCTCCATGCCCTTCTCCTCCATGCCCTTCTCCTCCATGCCCTTCTCCTCCATGCCCTTCTCCTGCCATGCCCTTCTCCTCCATGCCTTCTCCTCCATGCCCTTCTCCTCCATGCCCTTCTCCTCCTGCCCTTCTCCTCCATGCCCTTCTCCTCCATGCCCTTCTCCTCCATGCCCTTCTTCCTCCATGCCCTTCTCCTCCATGCCCTTCTCCTCCATGCCCTTCTCCTTCCATGCCCTTCTCCTCCATGGCCCTTCTCCTCCATGCCCTTCTCCTCCATGCCCTTCTCCTCCATGCCCTTCTCCTTCCATGCCCTTCTCCTCCATGCCCTTCTCCTTCCATGCCCTTCTCCTCCATGCCTTCTCCTCCATGCCCTTCTCCTCCATGCCCTTCTCCTCCATGGCCCTTCTCCTCCATGCCCTTCTCCTCCATGCCCTTCCCTCCATGCCCTTCTCCTCCATGCCCTTCTCCTCCATGCCCCTTCTCCTCCATGCCCTTCTCCTCCATGCCCTTCTCCTCCATGCCCTTCTCCTCCATGACCCTTCTCCTCCATGCCCTTCTCCTCCATGCCCTTCTCCTCCATGCCCTTCTCCTCATCCTTCCTTCCATGCCCTTCTCCTCCATGCCCTTCTCCTCCATGCCCTTCTCCTCCATGCCCTTCTCCTCCATGCCCTTCTCCTCCATGCCCTTCTCCTCCATTGCCCTTCTCCTCCATGCCCTTCTCCTCCATGCCCTTCTCCTCCATGCCCTTCTCCTCCATGCCCTTCTCCTCCATGCCCTTCTCCTCCATTGGCCCTTCTCCTCCCATGCCCTTCTCCTCCATGCCCTTCTCCTCCATGCCCTTCTCCTCCATGCCCTTCTCCTCCATGCCCTTCTCCTCCATGGCCCTTCTCCTCCATGCCCTTCTCCTCCATGCCCTTCTCCTCCATGCCCTTCTCCTCCATGCCCTTCTCCTCCATGCCTTCTCCTCCATGCCCTTCTCCTCCATGCCCTTCTCCTCCATGCCCTTCTCCTCCATGCCCTTCTCCTCCATGCCCTTCTCCTCCCATGCCCTTCTCCTCCATGCCCTTCTCCTCATGCCCTTCTCCTCCATGCCCTTCTCCTCCATGCCCTTCTCCTCCATGCCCTTCTCCTCCATGCCCTTCTCCTCCATGCCCTTCTCCTCCATGCCCTTCTCCTCCATGCCCTTCTCCTCCATGCCCTTCTCCTCCATGCCCTTCTCCTCCATGCCCTTCTCCTCCATGCCCTTCTCCTCCATGCCCTTCTCCTCCATGCCCTTCTCCTCCATGCCCTTCTCCTCCATGCCCTTCTCCTCCATGCCCTTCTCCTCCATGCCCTTCTCCTCCATGCCCTTCTCCTCCATGCCCTTCTCCTCCATGCCCTTCTCCTCCATGCCCTTCTCCTCCATGCCCTTCTCCTCCATGCCCTTCTCCTCCATGCCCTTCTCCTCCATGCCCTTCTCCTCCATGCCCTTCTCCTCCATGCCCTTCTCCTCCATGCCCTTCTCCTCCATGCCCTTCTCCTCCATGCCCTTCTCCTCCATGCCCTTCTCCTCCATGCCCTTCTCCTCCATGCCCTTCTCCTCCATGCCCTTCTCCTCCATGCCCTTCTCCTCCATGCCCTTCTCCTCCATGCCCTTCTCCTCCATGCCCTTCTCCTCCATGCCCTTCTCCTCCATGCCCTTCTCCTCCATGCCCTTCTCCTCCATGCCCTTCTCCTCCATGCCCTTCTCCTCCATGCCCTTCTCCTCCATGCCCTTCTCCTCCATGCCCTTCTCCTCCATGCCCTTCTCCTCCATGCCCTTCTCCTCCATGCCCTTCTCCTCCATGCCCTTCTCCTCCATGCCCTTCTCCTCCATGCCCTTCTCCTCCATGCCCTTCTCCTCCATGCCCTTCTCCTCCATGCCCTTCTCCTCCATGCCCTTCTCCTCCATGCCCTTCTCCTCCATGCCCTTCTCCTCCATGCCCTTCTCCTCCATGCCCTTCTCCTCCATGCCCTTCTCCTCCATGCCCTTCTCCTCCATGCCCTTCTCCTCCATGCCCTTCTCCTCCATGCCCTTCTCCTCCATGCCCTTCTCCTCCATGCCCTTCTCCTCCATGCCCTTCTCCTCCATGCCCTTCTCCTCCATGCCCTTCTCCTCCATGCCCTTCTCCTCCATGCCCTTCTCCTCCATGCCCTTCTCCTCCATGCCCTTCTCCTCCATGCCCTTCTCCTCCATGCCCTTCTCCTCCATGCCCTTCTCCTCCATGCCCTTCTCCTCCATGCCCTTCTCCTCCATGCCCTTCTCCTCCATGCCCTTCTCCTCCATGCCCTTCTCCTCCATGCCCTTCTCCTCCATGCCCTTCTCCTCCATGCCCTTCTCCTCCATGCCCTTCTCCTCCATGCCCTTCTCCTCCATGCCCTTCTCCTCCATGCCCTTCTCCTCCATGCCCTTCTCCTCCATGCCCTTCTCCTCCATGCCCTTCTCCTCCATGCCCTTCTCCTCCATGCCCTTATTCCCCACGTCTTCCGGGCTCTCTGCACTAGACGCCTGCTCTTGCTTTCCTCCTTCCAACGACGCTTCAGTCCCATTTCCTTTTGCTTCTACGTCTGGCGAACTGCTTGTGCGCTTCCCCACTACCTCCTCCTCCTTCCCCCCATCCCCCTCCTCTGTGCCTCTACCGCTCTCGTCCACAGTGCTCGCACCCACCTCGCCCCTGCACACATCCGCCGCATCACCCTCTGCTGCGCTGCTGCCCTTCGTGCGAGCCGCGACCTCCATGGCACGTGCGGCGGCCAGGCAGGGCGGGTGGAAGAACCCCACGAACGACTGGCTGGGCACCACACACAGCGGCAGCCGTGGCATGGCTGCCGCCCCTCCACCACTGCCAGCATGGCTGGCACCAGGGTCCGTGTTTCCTCCACCATCCATATCAGCTGCCCGCTCGTGAGCCTCTGCACCCACGGCCTGCCCGCCACAGTCGGACTGCGCATGGGAGGGTGCATGGGGGGCCGTGTTGGCATGCGAGTGCTGCACGGCAGCCAGCACGGTGTCGAGGTCAAAGTGCCCATCAGGGAAGCGCTGGTGGAAGTCGCTGAGGGCGCGCAGGCGGCGCCAGTCAGCCGACCCGGCACGGATGAGGTCGTCCAGCTCCGCCTGCCCTGGCAGCGTGCCCTCCCCGTGTGCATGCTCTTGCAGATGCACCCACGCTGCTATGTGCGCCACCAGCAGCGCACACGCGCCCTCGCCTGCCGCGCTGGCGTGGCACTGGTCCACTGTTGCCAGGAACACCGGCGCACACAGCCGTGCCGTGCCGTCGCGACTCACCACCTCACGGCGCTCCCAGCGGCCGACACGGAACTCGTCCCCGAAGAGCTCCCGCACACTCGATGCCGATGGGGACACTGGATCTGTCTCTGCCTCCTCCGCACTCGCTGCTGCCTGCTGCTCCTCCAGAGGCAGCTTATAAAGGGGATGCTCCTGCTCGGCCTCCAGTGCCTTGCGCCTGTCCCAGTCGATCTCGTCCCCCCCCTCCTCCCCGTACGCCTTGTGCAGCAGCGGCTCGCCCCTCTCCTGCAGTGACAGCGTGCGCAGGAAGAGCAGCGGCCGCCGCAGAAACGCGCCCACGCCCGCACCCCCTCCGCCTCCGCCCCCTGCCCCACCTCCGCCCGAGGTGGCAGCAAGGGGCTTGGCTGGGAGGAAGGGCGGGAGGAGAAAGGACTTAGAAGGGGGAGGGGCGTCGGCAGGGAGGGGGTCGAGCGGTGAGATGGGGGACGAGTCCCTGCTGCCTTGGGGAGGGGGAGGGCCTTGCACGCCTTGGGTGGAGCCGGCACAGGCAGCAGCAGGTGCGGGGTCGGATGTGGCTTCTGGTGCTGACGATGCGGGCTGTGGCGCTGGTGGCGAGGGCAGGTCGGGTGTGGGCGCAGGAGCAGGGGGCGGGCGGGGGGTGGAGGAGAAGAAGAGGAAGGGCGAGGTGAAGGTGAAGAGGCGTGGCGCTAAGGGCGACCTCAAAGGAGCAGTCACTCGCTGCTCCTCCTCCGCTGCACCTCCCACACCCTCTGCGCCAACTGCTCCCACTGCTCCCTCCTCGCCACCTCCCTCCCTGCCTCCTTCCAGTGACGCCATGTGCGTTTCTTGCATTGCAGCCTGCCCTCTGTCACTATGCACGCTGGACGGGTGGGCGGGCAGGGAGAGGGTGCGAGGGGGCGAGGGCAGGGCGTGGGGCAGCAGGTGCAGCATGCGCATGCGTGTGTGCACGGGCCCTCCCACGTGCCCTCCCAGGTTCACCTCTGCCAGCGGCCCATAGCACAGCGCCTCCGCTGCTACCATCTCCTCCTCGCCCTCCTCACACTCGCTCTCTGCCTCTCCTCCCATCTCCCTGTACGTATCCTCCGCTGCCTTCTCCCACACTGCCAACTCACTCGTCAAGACCCCATTCCCCTCCCACAAGGTGTTGCTCCCTCGCTCCTTGCTCTCACCCTCTTCGCCCTCCTCCCCCGTCCCCTCTTCACCCCTCCCTCCTAGCCCCGCCGCCTGTTTCCCGCTTGGCCTGCCCCGCACCCGTCCTGCCCCATCCACCGACACTGACCGCCGCCACACCCCTCCCCGCAGCACATCCAGCAGTCCCATACCCATGCCCATGCTCGTGCCCGTGCCTGCACCCGCACCCGTGCTCGCGCCAGCGCCTGTGCCCACAGCCACATCCACACCCCCATTGCCGGACGCCCCCCTGTTGTCTGCCGATTCGCCTTCCACCTCCGCCACAGCAGCGCCATTTTCTCTCTGCTGCTCCACGGCACCGCCTATCTCCCTCGTCTGCCGCCCCTCCCATCCCTGCCCGCCACGCCCATTCTCCCCCTCTGCGCCCTCGCCGTCACTCGCCCTCCGCTCCACCTGCTCCCACTCTGTATCGCCGTCCGTTCGCTCCCAATCGGCCTCCTCCTGCTGCCCACCACCGCTGCTCTGCTCCGCGCTGCCGCTGCCTGCAGCACCATGCCCCTCGCTCTCGCCTACAATACCCGCCGCGTTCAGGGGCAGCGCGGGGCTCTTGCTCTCCCGGCTGCGCCGCTGCCACCCCCACAGCCCCCCCAGGTGCACCCCGCCTACCCCAGCCTCCCTCACCCCCGTCCCTGCTGCTGCTGGCGCGCCCGCGGCTGCCCCTGCCGCCGGTGCTGAGGCTTGGGCCGGGACTGGTGCTGCCGACTGGAGTGCGGCTGGGGATGGGGGGGCGGATGCTGCTTGTGGGAGCTGAGTGCACTCCACTGTCACCTGCCCCGCGCACAGCAGCACACACACACACAAGCAGAAGAGGAACGCCTCAGGGTACTGTTGGCTTGGCACAGCGAAACGGAATAGCGGGCTTATGGCTGAATGGAAAAAGGGGTGAGAGGGTGCAGGTGCAGGGCAGTGCGGGGCGGGCAGGGGCAGTGGCGTGAGTGGCGACCTGCAGCAGGCCGACAGGGGGCGAGTCGGGGGGCGCGAAGAGGAGCAGCAGGTGGTGCGTGAGGGGGTGCGCGGAGAGCGGCGAGGCGAGCGGCGCCACGTCCAGCACCACCGACGCCACCTGCTGGGGCCGCTCCCTGGGCCTGCTGGGTGCATGCTGTAGTGCGGCAAAAAGGGGAAATGGATGGGAGTGGGGTAGGTAAGGTTTGACAAGCCAAGAGCTAGGGCTACTATATATAGGAAAAAGACACTGAACGTGATTACATCCTTGTGTTATGAAAGACATGGAGCAAGCGTGAGTGGAGATGTGATTGACACATGGGAGATGAGCCCCTTCACAAACCCCACCTTGTGCACGAGCAGCACGATCTCCCACGGCTGGAAGAGGCAGCCCTTGCCGCACGCCTCGCCCTGCCCGCGGGCGGCGCGCACGGCGGCGGGGCAGGGCAGCAGGTGGCAGTCGTGCGCGAAGCCCTCCTCCCACCGCACCATCCCGTGCGCCCCGCGCGGGGGCTGCGCGCTGCTGCACCCGCGCTTCACGGCGCGCCCGAACATGGACCCCATCAGCCCCGCGCGCGCGCCCTTCCACCGCACCTCCACCGCCAGCAGCGCGGCTTCCGCCCCCTCCTCGCCCTCGCCCGCCGCTGCCTCCGCCTCGGCTGCTACAGCGGGTGGCACGGCAGCAGGCGCAGCGCTGGCAAGTCCCCAATTGCTGGCCTTGCCTGCAAGCGCTCCTTGTACTGCCTCCACACTCGCTGACTGAGCCTCCACCGCCACTGCCGCTGCTGCTGTCGCTGCTACTGCTGCGCCTGCTCCTGTTGATGCCGCTGTTGCTGCTGCTTGTTGGGTCTCCGACGGGCTTGCTCTGTCAGCTGCGCCGACAGTGGCTGCTGCGACGGCAGGGGCATCAGCGGGCAGCAGCAAGGAGTAGGACCCGCTCTCACCGCTCCACTGCCCATGCCTCTCTGCAACAGCCGACCCACCATCCGATCCCGCGTCGCCTGGGCCGTTGGGAGGTGCGCTCCGTAAGATGCCTTCAAGCGCGGGAGGCAAGGCGCAGTCCGCCGTGCCATCCGCTGTGAGCGGGGAGCACCCGCCAGCCTGGTGGCGTGCTGAGTCCGCGAGCGCTGCGAGGGCGGAGAGCACAGCGGGCGGGAGGGCTGCTGGGGATGCGAAGCCGAATGCGTGGTCGACGGTGAGGGAGACGGCCACGGAGCGAGGACCCAGCACAGCGCTGGCGGACTGCTGCTGCTGCTGCTGCTGCCGCTGTTGCTGCACCTCTTCCTCCTGCTGCTGCACCTGTTGCTCCTGCTGCTGCACCTGTTGCTGCTGCGGCTGCCGTTGCTGATCGTCCGGCCTGTTCGAATGCATGCGCACGGGGACGTCGCTCGGCTCCCCGCACTGAGCCTCACGAACGGCCTCGCTGCCGCGCTCCTCGTGCTCGACGCCGCGAATCCACGGGTGCAGCTGCGGCAGCGACACGGAGCGATGGCCTAGCGTTGTCATTATTAGAAAGCTGTGCGACAGGGGAAGTGATAGAGCTGAGGAACGCGAAACTCTATCGAGAAGAGCAATCACGCCAGATTATGAGGGTTTACATCGGAATCTGTCACACCCGGATCGCCATGATGCTCGACAATCTCCATTTCCTCCCATATAAACTTCTCCGATACTCGCGGCTTATAAGCTCGCTTCATGGCGGCAACGACTCACGCTGAAACCTGTCCTTGTCACGCAATGCTTCAAAATCATCTATGGCTCTTCCGCAACCAATGCCCCAGCCTTATAACATTTGCCTACTACCGTAAATTCCTGTCCACTCTCCTTCATTTGCTCAAGATAACGGGGAAGTTGGTAGCCTTCACAGAAGATGCGAAGGTGATTGGTAGCCTTCACATATTCTCATTGGTTGCCCGTCACACTCAGGACGCGGGCACTCGCACCGATTTTGGCGATCGAAAGTGAAATTTCGATCCGCCACCGCACTGGAAACCTGCAATTACAAACTAAAGCTTTTCCAACCTTTTTAAAACCTGTAAAGAAGCGATCCTGCGTAGGATCGAAATCAAGGAGGTGCGTGGAGGGGGGTGGAGGGGAGTGACAGGGGGAGAGCAATAGAGTTGAGAGATGGCGGGCGCGGAATACATAGCTGGAGCCTGGAGGGGTGGTGATGATGTAGAATTTCAAAATGGGTGGCATGGGGGAACGGAGGTGGGGGGCTCAAGGAGCGCGTCAAAAGGGATCGGCGGGAAAAATACGATATCGAGAGGGTGGGGATGGGGAGTGGCGCAAAAGCGCAGGTCACACCTATCGCGGATCTGCTCCCTTCAAATGTCCCCTGGGGTTCGCGCTCAGCACCTTGGATTCTCCCAGCGAAGGCACAGGGTTACGTAGATTCATCGTTTGGAGTCGAATCGCACACATGTGTGCGGCTGCCCAGTTTTTTGGAAAAGGGAGTCGAGTGCAGAATCACAATGTGGTGCGACCTGGTTGCGACGTCGGCGAGCGTCGCAAAACATATGAAAAGCGACTTCCAGTCAGAGGCGTGCGAGATTATCTTCCCTGGATGAACCTTGATCTTGATTGACAATTATTCTGGCGAGGGCATAGGTGTTACGCTGCATCTGATGGTGCTGCTTCACTGCATTAGGGCGTGTCTCTTCTGGTGTAGACGTTCGAAAAAAAGGTCGACCTTTTGCTGGTAACCAGCTTCGTTAATTTCGATTAACACTGTTTGCGACGTTCTTGTGTCCATGTAGAATGTTTGAGAAACCAGGAGGACACTGAACTGGGGTCGACCTCGCTTTCGATTTTTTCGTCCACGTTTTTCCAATCGTGTGTTCCTCTGCTCACGCACGAAGCAGCAGCGAAAATTACGACAGAAACGAACTGCATCGTAACGAGTTACCGATTCCGGATTCGGCCACGAACTTGTTTTTGTAAACCGGGTAACCTACGAATCGTAGGCGCGTCTCGGGATTTACTGTATAAAGTCGACCTTCGACAGTCGAACTTTGTTGGTCCATGTGCTTGATGTGAAAAAAGAAGGAAAAGCTGATAAGGGAAAAAAAGAAAATTGTTGGGACAGTCGACTACAGGTCGACCGAGGCTCAAATGCACAAAGTCGAAAAAAAAACATGAACTTTACATACACTCCAAAAGACACACGCCCTTACAAGTATATAAGACAAGTAGCAGACATTATATGTAGTAAATGTTGTAGTACATCCTACGGTGATGGGTGCCGTGGCACATCCAGAACGGTGCCTCAACTACCGTAAAACTTGGCCTTAGAGTTTGCCCCAACATAAAACAGAGAAGGGTAAACGCTCCAGCCCAGTAGGGGCAGTGCAGAGCGGATGGTGAAAGGTGTGATGTGAACTGCTAAGGGGTCAGGTCAGGAAGAGTAGAGCTCCTCCAGAATCCTGATTTACAGCGGCCAATGGATCCACCATCGCCCATGCCCATCACCATGCAAACCAAAACTGGCATGTCTTATGTATGCAGCTGCGGCAGCGCAACACCACACACGCACCCCTAAGTGTGCCGTACGTAAATGCGTTTATTAGACCAGTCGGCAACAAAACATGCCGCTCCAGCAATCCCCACAGGACCACCTCGGCATCGTGCTGCCCGTCACTACATGGCACTTCACCTCCACACGTGCACAATGTGCTGTGATTAGCTGTTGGGCCGCCACGCTGACATGGCAAGCAGTGGTTGGTCCTTCCAGTTGAGAGTGAGGCTGTTGGGTTGCTCTGCCGCTAGCGAGTACGGGCCCTTGTACCTGCCATGGGGAGGGGAGGGTAAGGCACCAGGTGAACAGGGGAAAGGAGGGAGCAGGGTGGCATCACAAGCGGCCCACGCAGGTCAAGTGCATACACCAGCCAGCCAAGCCCAGCACACAGAGGGCACGTGAGGCTGGAACGGCACACACTCACGTGGAGAGCAGGGCGGTGGCGGTGGCCACAACCTCGCGGTTGGGCAGGTACCCCACGAACCCAGCACGGTGCACGCGGCGCTCCCACTGCCCCAGCGGCCCATGCAAGTCAAGAGCAGACATCAGCCAAGCCACTACACGCACGGCACGGGCGGGTCGACAAGCCACTCACGTGGAGAGCAGGGCGGTGGCGGTGGCCACGACCTCGCGACTAAGCGGGTACCCCACGAACCCCGCGCGGTGCACGCGGCGCTCCCACTGCCCCAGCGGCTCCTGGCGCTCCGTGCGGTCCTGCCCCTCACACGCCACCACGTTCACAATGGCGCGCCCCAGCACCCGCTGCTCAAACAACCGCCGCTCCATGGAGTCCGCGGGCACGGAGGCATCGAGGGCGTCAAAGATGGACGCGTAGTAATGGAGGGCTTCCAGGAAGCGGCTGAGGAAGAAGGGCGAGTTGTGATTGGTGTTCTGCTCCACCAGCGTGGTGACGGCGGGTGCGAGCGCGCGCATGGTGCGCAGCACGGCGGCGCGCGGGTTGGAGGGCGTGACGGACTCGTCCATGAGGTTGTGCAGGCGCAGCGCACAGTTCACCACGAGCACCTCGTCCGCCTCGCAGCGCACCATGGATGGCTGCAGCTCCGGCAGGTTGATTGGGATGAAGTTGAACGTGAACGGCACCCCCCAGCTCTGCGCCACGCTCTGTGGCGTTCACGTACAGGGGAAGGGATGGCATGGGAGTGGGCGAGGAGAAGAGTGTCATATGTGAGTGAAGCCGAGGTTGTGAGTTATGACTTGTGACACGATGGAGACAAGCGAGGAGGTGAAAGCGAAAGGGGTGATGGCAGACACAGGAGAGGAACGGAAAGGCAGACGAAAGGAGAGGGAGTTGATAAGGAGAGAGATAGGAGGGCGAGTGGTGGAGGTACAGACCCGGAGGCGCTGGCCAGCCTGGCGGAGGCAGTAGCCCTTGTGGATGCCGGCCACAAAGGGGCGGTCGATGCCCGTTATGCGCAGGTGCGGCGGGCCCCCCGGCAGCACGGCCAGCGCCTGGATGAGTGGCGGCCACTGCACGGCGTGGCCCAGCCCGAAGTCCACTATGTGCACCTTGCGCGCGCCCTGGATCGCCTCCAGTATGGCGCTGTTGCACGCCACGTGCCCAAACGTCAGGTACGGTGACGCACTCACCAGCACCTGGTGGGACCGTGGGGGGGCGTGAGGGCAGGGGGATATGGGGGTGTGTGGAGTGAAGGGTGGGGCGACTGTCCAAGCACTTGGATCTTACTCACGAGCCCCCTGCCATGCAATAGTCCTTCTGCCAAGGCCACAACAACACCATGCTTCCTTACAGCCACTGTCCCACCTCAGACATTTGAATAGCACCTCAACCGCCCTTACAGCCCTTCCTGTCCCCATTCCAACCGTCCTTACAGCCGGCCCCCCAACCTCTAAGCCCACCACCCCCATCCCAACCGTCCTTACAGCCGCCCCCCCAACCTCTAAGCCCACCACCCCCATCCCAACCGTCCTTACAGCCGGCCCCCCAACCTCTAAGCCCACCACCCCCATCCCAACCGTCCTTACAGCCGCCCCCCCAACCTCTAAGCCCACCACCCCCATCCCAACCGTCCTTACAGCCGGCCCCCCAACCTCTAAGCCCACCACCCCCATCCCAACCGTCCTTACAGCCGCCCCCCCAACCTCTAAGCCCACCACCCCCATCCCAACCGTCCTTACAGCCGGCCCCCCAACCTCTAAGCCCACCACCCCCATCCCAACCGTCCTTACAGCCGGCCCCCCAACCTCTAAGCCCACCACCCCCATCCCAACCGTCCTTACAGCCGCCCCCCCAACCTCTAAGCCCTCCCCGTCCCCCATGACAGCCGTGGCTGACCTCAAAGGCGCGCAGCAGCGGCGCGTCGCAGTCAATGGAGCGGTAGATGCCCAGCGCACCTCATCTGCCCTCACAGCCCTTACAGCCCCCCCCTCATCTCCAAGCCGCCCACTCTGAAGCAGCTGACTGACCTCAAATGCGCGCAGCAGCGGCGCGTCGCAGTCAATGGAGCGGTAGATGCCCAGCGCACCCGCTGCCCCCGCACCGTCACTGCCAGGGCAGCCGGGGCCCGTGGGCGCCGTGCCGGAGGCGCGGGCGAGCAGCCCCTCGAGGAAGTAGGCGGACACGCGCTGGGTGGCGTCCCCGTATACTGAGGCTACCGCTGTCAGGCGCTCCACCAACACGTGCACCTGGGGGGGGAAAGGAGGGGGGGAGGGGTGCGCGCGTGAGCGAATGGGGGGGGGGGGGCGGGCGAGCAGCCCCTCGAGGAAGTAGGCGGACACACGCTCATATTCTCTCTGCCTCTCATCCGCTCTCCCTCTCGTCCGCTCCCCCTCCCCCTTCAACTCACGCGGTGGTGGTCGCCGGACACAATGGCCTTTGCGATGTCGAGCAGCATCTGAATCACCGCCGACCGCCCCGTGCCACCGCTGCTGCCTGCTCCTCCTCCTGCCGCCGCCTGCCCTCCATGCTGCGCCTGCTGCATCGCCTGCCCCGCCTGCTGCCCCCCTTGCTGCTGCCCCCCCTGCTGCCACTCCTCTTGGGAGCCGCTGGGGCTGTTGAGCGCCGCCCTCTGCATCTGCGCCATCAGTTCCTCCGCGCGCCCTTGGCTATCCGCGCGCCCCTGGCTCTCCCCCGACCTCGCACTCCCTGTCCCCTCAACTCCCCCGCCCTGCTGCCCCGCGCCCTGCCCGCCATCCCTGGCGCAACTGGTGGGGGGATGCGCGGGCGCCATGCCTTGGGGGGCGGGCACCATTCGGTCCACCGCCATCCCCAGCAGCTCCTCCTCGCCCATGCCCGCGCCCATGCCCATGCCCATGCCCATCCCCCCGCCCGCGCCCATGCCCATGCCTGCGTCCCCTGATGCGCCGTGAAAGGCGCCCGGGGGAGCGGAGAGGAAGGCGGGGTTGAGGTCGTGGGGGAGGAGCGACTCCATCTCGTCGAAGGCGAAGGTGAGCTCGTCCAGTCCGCGGAAGAAGTCCGCCTCCATGTACTCCGCGCCCAGCGCCACCGGCTCCACCTGCTGCACGCGCGCCATCCATTCCGCCGCGCTCAGCTCGCGCAGCTGCTCCGCCACCGAGTTCGGCCCGTGCCGCGGCCACACGCCGATGCCGCCCGCCTGCCCCGGCACGAAGGGGCACGGCGCGGGGGAGCCGCCGGGGCTGGGCTGGCCGCCGGAGGTGGAGGGGGAGGGGGAGAGCTGCTGGAAGGGCTGGCCCGCGGAGTTTAGCGGCACGGCCGCCGGCTGTGCGTGCTGACGTGGCGTGAGGCCATTGGAGTGCGAGGAGGACGAGCTCGCGGACGGCCCGGGCGACGCTGTGCGAGTGCCCTGCGACGAGGCGCCAGAGGTGGCGGGCGGAAGGGAGCACGGATAGGAAATCGGCTGCGGCGGAGGTCGCGGCTGTGGGGGGGCCTGGCGGTGGTCGGAGGGCGGAACGAGCGGCTCTTGCGTGTTGCCCCACAGCTGCTGCAGCGTCGCTGTCAGATCCCGCGCCGTGCGTTGCGGCGGCGGTAGCGACGGCTGCTGCTGACCGCCGCCGCGCGTGTTGCCGCCGTGCGAGTGCGTGTGCGCGCCTTGGTGGCCGCCGCACGGATGATCTGAACGCGCGGGGAGCACGGGGGACGATAGAACGGAGCGCGGGGGAGGAACGGGTAGCGCGGGGAGCATGTGAGAGCAATATTGCACTACCGGCGGTAATGAAGACGGGGATACAGAAGGATCTCGTTACCGAGACACGGCACGAACACGCACGAACCATAAGGACGGCATAAGAGCCAGGGCGACGGGCGGACGGCACGGACCTTGCACGATGCGGCACGTCTTGAGCTGCACGTGCATCCACGCGCGCTGCAGCCGCTGCTCCAAATCCGACGGCACGCCCTCTCGCTCACCCGCCATGGCGCGCGGGCCTCGCGATATAAACAGATTTTGCCTGCAAACCAAACCCTAGAAGTTACTACGAAGCACTGCCGTGCAGAACGCAGCTACGGCTGTGCGCCTTCCGTGTGTGCCGGTTTTCTAGCCGAGTCAAAAACAAGTCGGACAAAAGCGACGGCTATAATAAAAGCTAGGCATGAAATATTACACTGGATTTACTTACGCCTCCCTTAGAGCGTCGTACTGTACGACACGTGCGAGCCTACAGCCGATTGCTTATAGCGTTTCCTTGTTCACAGTTAAGTTCTATATTTTGCACAAGCATCAGTACCTACAAGCATCAGCCCCCGGATATAGGCGCCCTTGGGTTTGTAATTAAACATTCTTTTTTACGGGGTACGCATTTTGTTGCGATCAGAAGTTGATCGTACCTAGGATCACCTCAGGAAGGTTCGCACATGTTTGAGTAGTGGTGGTGGGCCCTTTGTCAAATGTTGTAGTCTTAGTGATGTGTGTTATAGGGGGTACAACTATTAGGGTTAGGTTTATGTACCCCAACCAACCTTAGTCAAACCAGCACTTTCATTCTTGACATGGTATCAGCTAGGTTAGGATCCTGTGGGATCCCGTTCCTCTCGTTCACGTCCGTAGCGCCCAAGCCTGTCCCGTACCCTAGTGCCCGTTACGCCCGTACGGTCCCCTAGCGCCTATCGCGCTCGTCTCTCTCGTGCCCTAGCGCCCGCTGCGCTTGCCGTCGCGTCGCCCCTGCTGTCCCGTCCCGTCCCGTCGCCCCTGCTGTCCCGTCCCGTCCTGTCGCCCCTGCTGTCCCGTCCCGTCCCGTCGCCCCTGCTGTCCCGTCGCGTCGCCCCTGCTGTCCCGTCCCGTCCCGTCGCCCCTGCTGTCCCGTCGCGTCGCCCCTGCTGTCCCGTCCCGTCCCGTCGCCCGTGCTGTCCCGTCGCGTCGCCCCCTGCTGTCCCGTCGCGTCGCGCCTGTCCCTGCTGTCCCGTCGCGTCGCGCTGTCCCGCCGCGTCGCGCCGTCCGTCCCGTCCGCGTCGCGCTTCCCGTCCCGTCCCGTCGCACGCGCCCCGTGCGCCCTGCCCGTCCGTCGCGCCCCTGCTGCGCCCTGCCCGTCCGTCGCGCCCCGTGCGCCCTGCCCGTCCGTCGCGCCCCGTGCGCCCTGCCCGTCCGTTGCGCCCCTGCTGCGCCCTGCCCGTCCGTCGCGCCCCGTGCGCCCTGCCCGTCCGTCGCTCCCCCGCTGCGCCCTGCCCGTCCGTCGCGCCCTGTGCGCCCTGCCTGTCCGCACCTGTCGCGCCCGTCCCTGCCAGTTGCGTCCTGTCCCGTCGCGCCGCACTGTCTGTCACGCCCTACGCAGGCCCTTTAGGCGTTTAGGGTTTCGGCAACAGCGGTTACCACCTCTTAGCTTCTGCTATGGCGACCCCTAGGGTCCTGCGTTTTGACGCCGAGGGTAGGCCGCTTGAGTTCTCCGTCTGGCTCCTGCGTGCGCGCCGCCTTTTAGAGAGTCAGGTTCACGCAGATGAGTATCTGTGGGCACACGCTTCTGGCGACCTTCCTAAGCCCGACGACCCTGCACCCTTAGCAGCTGACCCCACACCTGCAGACAGTGACCGTTATGCACGCGCGCGTGCTGACGTGACCGCGTGGAAGTCGCGTGACGCTGCGGCCTGCATCGCCCTCAGCAGCCTCCTCCCTGAGTATGAGGAGACCCACTTCACTCAGGTTCGCACGACTAGTGAGTTCCTGACTGCGATCAAGGCCCGTTACGCTACTCCCACCAATGTCTCTCTTGGTCGCCTGTTCCTTCCGTTCCTGTTTCCTGACCTCGCCTCGTTTGAGCGCACTGCTGACTTGATCACTCATCTGCGCTCGCTCGATTCTAGCTACCGCGCTGCTTGCACTGACGCACAGCTTGCACTGCTCCCCCCCCCCCATGGCGATTACTATCTATTTCATCGCCACTAGCCTCCCTGACCGCCTTGCATCGGTTCGTGACGCGCTTCTTCTGAAGCACCCTAGCGAGCTCACTATCGAGGTCCTTGAGTCGGCCCTCAAGGACGTCGAGAGCAACCTCTGCTCGGTAGCATCTGCCTCTGGTGCTGTGCCCCCTCCACTGTTTCACGGGTGCACTGTCCCTCAGCTGCCCACCTTTACTGCCTCCCTCGCCACGGCCGCTACTGACGTGACCGCAGCTGCTGTTACGACTTCTTCGCGGTCTCGGGGTAGGAGTGGCAGGAGGGGCGGTCAGGGTGCGGGCGGAGGCGGCGGAGGCGGTGGGGGTGACGTGGCGAGCGGCGACGGCGGGAGTGCAGGGGCTGGAGGAGCGTCTCGTACAGCGGCCGGTGACTCCCCTGCTGCAGCTGGTGGAGGCGACGCCCGGATTCGTCAGCCACCTACTGGTCTGCCAGCCGCAGGGGGTGGAGCAGCGGCGTGGTACCTGACTCAGCGACAGCAGCAGCAGCCCCTCCCCTCGCAGCGGCCACAGCAGCAGCAGCGGCAGCAGCAGGTTTTGAGGCAGGGGTCAGGACAGCGTCAGCTGCAGCGCGGTGTCGTCCACTCTCCCTGCACCTATCACGTTCTGACAGGTGCCCGCCGCGGCCAGCCTTGTGGCCGCAGCCACCCACCAGGTCAGTGCTTTGCTCAGCTTACTGACACGGTTCGGTTGGCCTACGGCGTTGACGGCCCTGCCCCTGACTGGCTTCCCCTTGTTTAGACGTACGGCCCCGCTCTGTGGGGCATGTCGGCTTCTCAGTTGGTTGATCTCTTAGGAACTCCTCATGCTATGTATGCTGTTGTTGACTCTAGTGCTTCTGACTCTGTTTACTCGAGTGTTGTTAGCTTAGGTGCTAGTCTTGCTGAGGTGCCTGTTGCTAGTGTAGGTACTTGTGTAGACACTAGTCCAGGAGCTGCTCCGGAGGACGCTTCGCTGTCTTTCACTCTGGACTCCGGAGCTTCGCACTGTTTCTTCCGCGACCGCACGACACTTACCCCGCTTCCTACGCCGGTCTCTGTAGCACTGGGTGATCCCACTTCGGGACCAGTCACTTCTCGCTACACTACTACGCTTCCGTGCCCGGCTGTTCCCTCCGGTTCTCTGACCGGCTTCCACGTCCCCTCGTTCTCGAGGAACTTGGTGGGCGTGAGGCCGCTCGTGAATCAGCACGTGGGTGTGTGGATTGAGCCTTCTGGCGAGACTGTGGTTTGTGTCGACGGGGACATGTACGCGCCTCTCGCCACCTTTACCGCTGAGCCGGGCTCTGGTCTCTACACACTTCACACCGGCCCCCGAGGGCAGCAGCAGCAGCAGCAGCAGCAGCAGCAGCGGCAGCACCAGCAGCAGCAGCAGCAGCAGCAGCAGCAGCAGCAGCAGCAGCAGCAGCAGCAGCAGCAGCAGCAGCAGCAGCAGCAGCAGCAGCAGCAGCAGCAGCAGCAGCAGCGGCAGCAGTAGCAGCAGCTACTGCCCCCGGCCCCTGTCACTGCCCCCCGTCAGGTTCCCGCGTCTCACCAGGTTGCCGCGTCTCCCCAGGTAGCTGTGTCTGGTCAGGTTCCGGTATCTGGTCCAGTTGCTGCGTCGTGCTCCTGCCGGTCACTTGCCCACCCCACTGTTTTGTGGCACCACCGGATGGGGCACCCGTCCATTTCTCGCCTGCGCGCTATGTCTAGTCAGCGTCTTGTCTTAGGCCTCCCGCGAGTCTTGCCGTCGCTGCCGCCTTCGCTTGCACCACCTTGCGGTCCCTGCATCGAGGGTCGGCTGCGTGCCACCCCTCGCTCCTCCTCCCTTCGTCCGGCCACCGAGCCCTTCGAGACTCTCCACTTGGACGTCTGGGGCCCCGCCTCGCGCCCTGGCCCTGAGCGAGAGAGTTTCTTTCTCGTGGTCGTTGACAACTACTCCCGCTACACCACAGTGTTCCCCCTGGCGAAGAAGTCCGACGTGACTTCTACGCTGATCCGGTGGTTACTTACCACTGCGGACACTCGTGGTCGTCGTGTCAGCTGTCTTCACTCCGACCGCGGGGGTGAGTTTTGCTCTGGCGTTCTCGCTGGATTCTGTCGCGAGCAGGGCATCCGTCTGTCCTGGACGCTTCCAGAGTCCCCACAACAGAATGGGGTTGCTGAGCGCCGCATAGGCTTGGTCATGGAGATCGCCCGCACCTCCATGACTCACGCCCGTGCCCCCCATTTTCTGTGGCCTTACGCGGTTCGGTACGCCGCTCACCAGCTGAACCTCTGGCCACGTGTCTCTCGGCCAGAGGTTTCACCGACCAGTCTTTGGACCGGGTCCCCTGGTGCTGCGTCGCGTTTTCGTGTCTGGGGTTGCTTGGCACTTGTTCGCGACACCTCCGCGGACAAGATCTCGCCTCGCGCTGTTTCCTGCGTTTTCCTTGGTTTCCCTGCTGAATCCTCTGACTACACCTTTTACCACCCTCCCCTTCACCGGTTCTTTGACTCTCGTGATGTCCGTTTCGACGAGTCCGTCCCCTACTACGTCAGGTACCCCTGTCGAGGTCTCCCAGTTCCTCCTCCCCCTCTCTTCCTGACTTCAGCTCCCCCTCCTGCTCCCCCGGTACAGCCTCCCCCCCCTGGTCCCGCCCCGTCAGGTGTGTCCCACGCTACCCCTCCCCCCTCGGTAGCCCCTCAGGTGCAGCCTCCTTCCCCGCAGTCCTCCTCCCAGCCTACAGCAGACCCTGCGGGAGCCGGTTTTCGTGGCGAGGACCCTGGAGGTGCTAGATCTAGAGGTGCTGGAGTTGGAGTAGAGAGCGTACCTGTGCGAGGTCCTGGTTCTGGGGGTGCTGGAGTTGGAGCTGAGCCCGTGACTGCAGGAGACTCTAGTCTTCAGGGAGCTGGTGTTAGTGGAGCTGTCCCTGGGGGTGCTACGACTGGGGGTGCACCCTCTGCTGGACCTGGAGAGCCTGGGACGGACCCTGTTACTTCTGGTGGTGCTGGCTCTGGGGGTGGTGCGACTGGTTCTTTGGATCGCGGTCCTGGGGCTACCACCGCTCCGGACACTACTCCTCCCCCCCACCCCTACCCGACCCGGCACCAGGCCCGTGCACGCCGTGCCCGTGAGGAGCAGCTGGAGGTGGAGCGAGAGGAGAGAGAGTTGGAGCGGCAGCAGCTGGAGCTACAGCGGTTGGAGGAGCAGCAGCAGCAGCAGCAGCAGCAGCAGCAGCAGCAGCCGCAGCAGCAGCCGCAGCAGCAGGAGCAGCAGCAGCCGCCGCAGCTGGAGGAGCAGCGGTCGCAGCCGCAGCAGGAGCAGCAGCAGCAGCCACCTCCTCCTCCTGTCTCTGGTCTTCGGACCCTTGGTCTCCCCTCTCCCTCTCCTCCCTCCTCCCCCTCTCCTCCCGTCTCTGGTCCTCCGCTTCCTCCTCCTGACCCCTCCCCAGCTGTTTTCCCTCCTCCTCTGCCCCCGTTGTCCCCTCCTCTTTCTCACACTTGGTCTTCGTGTCGCTCTCCTCGTGCTCGTCACTCGTCTCCTGTTCCCTTCACTGACCTTCGCGTACTGCCCTGTTTCGTTCTAGTCCACCTCGTTCGTCTCCTTCTGTACTTCCTTCTCCTCCTGAGTCGGCTCTCACTGCTTCCCTCTCTACTCCTGTCATAGACTACTACCGCACGTACCGTCCTGTCCTCTCTCGTGTTCTCGCCTCTCTTGTTACCGACCCACGTGCTTCTCTGTCCTCTGTCTCCGCTCTTACTGCCGCAGTCACTGAGTTTGCCTCTACTCGCCGCCTTGACTACGCCACCAGTCTTGTGGCTGCTCCTCCTACCAGTCCTCTGGCTGTTGGGGGTGAGTCTGCCCTTGGCTGTGACGCCCTAGAGGACAGGCAGTTTGAGCTAGAGTTCCTAGCAGCCGCTTCCCCTCATCTCTGTGCCATGCTGCTCGCCCCTGAGGGAGACCCCGACGCCCTTGACATACCGACTCCTCGCACTTACGCTGAGGCAGTGTCAGGGCCTTGGGCCTCTCAGTGGAGAGCTGCCATGGACTCAGAGATGGCCTCCTACAGATCCACAGGCACTTACGTCGACGAGGTTCCCCCCCCTGGGGCGAACGTAGTCGATGGCATGTGGATCTTCAGGGTGAAGCGGCCACCGGGATCTCCTCCGGTCTTCAAGGCGCGCTATGTGGCTAGAGTTTTCAGTCAGCGCGAGGGAGTTGACTTCTTTCAGACCTTCGCGCCTACCCCGAAGATGACCACTCTTCGGGTGTTACTGCACGTAGCAGCACAGAGAGACTACGAGTTACACTCTCTCGACTTCTCTACTGCTTTCCTTCAGGGTAGCCTACACGAGGAGGTCTGGCTGCGTCGTCCCTCTGCCTTCACTGGCACCTTCCCTCCTGAGACCCAGTGGAGGCTGAGGCGACCGGTCTACGGTCTCCGTCAGGCTCCTCGTGAGTGGCACGACACCCTTCGTTCTACCCTGTCTGACCTCGGTTTCCAGCCGTCTTCTGCCGACCCGTCGCTGTTTGTTCGGCGTGGCTCCACACCGTTCTTTGTACTGGTCTACGTCGACGACCTGGTTTTCGCCACTGCTGACAGGGTTGCTTTGGCTGACGTGCTGCGGGAACTGCAGAAGAGACACACGTGCACTGACCTTGGTGAGCTGCGCCACTACCTTGGCCTGCAGATGACCAGGGACAGAGCCGTTCGCACCATTACACTATCACAGTCACACATGGTGCAGCAGGTCCTTCAGCGGTTCGAGCTTCAGCACTCCACAGTACAGCGCACACCTCTTGCTGTTGACCACAGACTCACTGGACCCTTCCCCGACGAGCCGTTTGAGCCTAGTGGTCCTTACGCAGAGCTTGTGGGCTGCCTCATGTACCTGATGACTTGTACTCGCCCGGACCTCGCCTTCCCTCTCAGCATCCTTGCTCGCTTTGTTGCGCCAGGGAGACACTGCCCAGTTCACTGGACAGCTGCTGTGAGGGTGGCGAAGTACCTAGCGACGACATCAGGCGTGGGGCTGGTTCTTGGAGGGCAGCAGTCTGTTGTACTTACTGGACATTGTGACTCTTCTTACGCTGACCACGCCGAGACTCACAGGTCTACTCAGGGGTACTGCTTCAGCCTGGGCTCTGGAGCTGTTTCGTGGAGGTCCACGCGTTCCTCCTCGGTCTCGACCTCTACTGCTGAGGCCGAGACCTACGCTGGAGCCATGGCTGCACAGGAGCTGCGTTGGTTGACCTTCTTGCTCACCGACCTTGGTGAGCGGCCGAGCTCTGCACCGACCTTGTTCACTGACAACAAGGCGTCGATCCTCCTCTGTCGAGAGCCGAGACTGGAGAGCAGAGTGAAGCACATCAACGTCAGGTACTTTCTTCTGCGAGAGTTGCAGAGGCGTGGACAGGCTCGCTTCGACTTTGTGGAGTCCGAGGCCAACACTGCAGACATCTTCACCAAGGCGCTTCCGCCTTGTGACCACCAGAGGTGTTGTGTGCAGTTAGGCTGTTGACACAGGTTCTCGCCTTGCGTAGTCTTGAGTTCTTTGCTTGCTTTGTTTGTACGCTTTATATATACCTCTGTGAACTCTTGAACTGGCCTTGTGGCTCTTTTGCTTGTGCTCGGAGTGTGTGGTGACATTGTGATCCACCCTGAGCTTTGTTTCTTTGTGACTGGTCTTGTGACCGTACACTTTTGGTTTTGCTTGACACCCCTCACTTAGACTATGGGGGTGTGTCAAATGTTGTAGTCTTAGTGATGTGTGTTATAGGGGGTACAACTATTAGGGTTAGGTTTATGTACCCCAACCAACCTTAGTCAAACCAACACTTTCATTCTTGACACCCTTGACCTCAATAGCAGAGTGAATGTAAAATGCTTGAGATAATAAAAACATGCAAGTGCAGGAATATAAATAAGAGTACAAGGGAATACGAATCGACCTAGTCTAGCCATGTACTCTAAGAGGTACATTCCCTTATTGCAGCGAAACCCAACCGTGCGACTCCAGACGGTTACAAACTGCCTGGGCAGAATCCTCGCCACTGCTGCTGCCTGATGCTGTCTGCCCGACGGTCCAGATGCCTTCGTAACCGTACGACCCTTCGCGTCACTTCCGTCCTTTCGTCTTCATTCTCGGTAGTGCGTGCTTCGATTGCTGCGGTGAGGAGTGCACAGTGATGCTTCAATAATTACTATTCGTAACACCCCCCTTCACTCCTGGCCGTAGCGAGTCTTGACCCGCTTGACTACTCCGCTGAGTTCGGAGCAGTGTTGGTACTGCTGACGTGACAGCTTCTTCGTGAGGAAGTCAGCTGCCATGTCACCCGTCGGGCAGTAGGTTGGGTCAACCTTGCCCTTGTCGACTTCGTCCTTGACAAAGAAGTACCGCAGCGCGATGTGTTTGGTGCGGTTGACAAATCCAGGCTTGTTCGTGATCCTGATCGCGCTCTGATTGTCGCAGTGCAGGCGAAAGTTCGTCGAGGCTGGAATTTTCGCCTCCTGC